TGGTACTCCTGCAGTGGTGAAACCGAACATAATTGATATCAAAGATAAATTGAAAACGTAGCGTGACATTGAAATGAATATCACATAATCAGAGTGAATATAATTAATTCTAGTCATAATTCGTTACTTGTACCCAATGTTAAACTGAATAGCTTCGACTTATATTTGCTAATTTAATACTTCACAATTAAATACATGTTTGAATGATTATACATACTGCAGTACTGTCTATATTGCAGTGCATTGCGTTATTTCCAACCTGACATCTTGATCCAGCCTATCTATACATCTTTAATAGGTAATCCTAGTTTATCGCTTCAATTTAATGCGGGTCAGCAACTTGATATCTAATTGTCATTACAGGAAATGTTGCAAACCAAATTTGTTTTACTTTTGGAAAACTTGAGCCATTAACTAGTCGAATGTTCATAACAAAATGTCAATCAAGAATGTCGACATTTTTCATTTACTGATCTTTCAAGTTGAATGAATCGTGTTTTTCTTAAAGTTACATGTAAATACCAGATACCTAAGTAAATTACCTTCGCAAAGAAAGCTATGTTTTTGCTGGCGTTGATTTTTATGTTATATTTAGAAGTGGCTGCTCTTCAAAAATGAACCAGTCTGTTAGTTCCGGTATATCTTAATATTGTTACCATAGAAACATGGATGTTTTCATTTCAATTATTATTCATTGCATGAGATGTCATTTTTTGAGAGGGGTTGTCTTTGAAACAAAGAGCAATTGATTATACCCTCGTTGTCATTGAGAAAACTATAATTTGAAATATTTTTTCACCAGTGCTATATAGGGTTACTATCTTATTTCTTTAGCGAGAATTAATTTTGTTGTCCTTTTTACAAATAAACTTGAAGCTTGTGTCAATATGTGCTTTGTCATTCAATGAAAACAATAGCATAAAAGTACAATAGTGTAGAATATAAATCAAACCTGTGACAGAGGTTTGTATTCTGTGTGTGCTTTATAGATGTTGTACAATTCATAATGTAGAGTAGTCTGATGGATGATGTATGCATGGTTAAAAAGAATGAATCGAGATACACAGATACAGTGGGTCACAAAATGGAAAAAATGCAGAAACGACAGTGATTTTCTCATCCAGAAAATACCTAAACGCCTTCTCACTGCGACAAGACATCATCAGTTACAGTGGCGGCAGCATGAAGGGCAGAGGGGCGCGACCGCCCCCTCGAAAACAAATGTTGGGGTGTCGCTCTCTAAAATCCAGCTGAAACCCTTTGTGTCAGTAAAATTTGCCCCTCAAAATACAGGGGCTAGATGTCAACATTTTTAGGGGGAGCTGACCCCCGTAGGAAGGTGAGCAGATCTTGCCCCTCCATGCAAAATTTCGTGCCGCCATCTCTGAGTTGTCCAGTCAAAAGTACAGAAGTTCAGAAGTACCAGTCACTAAGTGGTATGCTGCCCCAAAACCAGTCAAACAATTGCCCATATCATATCACCAACAGCTTCATAACATTTGACCTCCCATATGTCAAGCGCATTGTGCTGTTATCAGCATCGCATTTAAACCCCAAGGCTGTTAGTGTATTGCCACGATTTGTACCTTGTGTATGCGATGACATACTATATTTTAGCTGGCACGTTATTTTAGATATATTAGCTCATGTGTAATTTCGTTAATTCAAAATGTAGCTAATTCAAAAGAAAGTATATTCTTATAAGATTGTTAGCATTTTAGCTAAATTAAGATTCTGTTAATGTATGCATTGAGTCAAACTCGTTAAAATAGCATGTAGTTATTTAAAAGTAGAATATTATACTAGCGAGTGTACGATTGAATGGATTTTTTATTCTATTCACTGAAC